TAATTAGATATTTTTCATGCATTTGTGTGTTCACATATCCCTGACTCTCAGAACGTTTGCTTTGTTGGTATTCCTAATAGTCACATTAATTGGTTTTATAGAGATTTGTACAGATTATCATACTTCAGTTGTGATAATGTAATGTTGGGCTAGACTCTTATTTACATTAGACTTTATTTAACCCAGGTCAAAATGTAACAAGTGAAAACAGAGTGAAAATAAATATCAGAAATTAGGAGAGGCTGCCACTTCTTATATAAAAACAGTAAATATAGACATTCATAGAATACCTTAATATAATACCTTTAATACCCTTAATAATTTATAATCTAATAATAGAATTTTACAGAGCTGGTGTACAGTAACTCTGCCACATTTTTAGAGATTCACATACTTTTATGTAAGATGAAAAATATAGCATCTGTAGTTATTCTGTAGAAATACTTTAGCTTTTACTGATTTTAAAAGTTAGCTATGAAAAGAGGAAGTTGTCATACCAGTAAAAATTTCAGAGTAATAAAGAATAATGTTTAGATTTTAGAACTGCTGTTGTTTTCTAGGTTCAGAAAACTACTTCATAGTAGTTTATCATAGACTGAAGATGTGAAAATGCAGCTTCTTAAAAAAGCAAAAACTAAAACTGAAATGAAACATAGATCGTAATGTTTTGGTTTTCCTTCCTAATAAGGTGAAAAATAATTCTTCATTTATCCTGTGGTTTCTGATAAGATCTTTGTGTATGTAATTTCAGATGTGTTTCTCACAAAAATTTTCTAATATTTGCATGACAAGTTTTCATTTCCAAAATATTTATGGGGGAAATATAGCTAAAACTATTTTAAGGTTTTAGTTCCTTAAAAGAATGGCTTTTTGGACATTTCTACAGTTCTGATAAGAACACAAACAAAATACAGTTCCAGTGAGTATTTCTGCTGTTCAGGAAAAACCTTTTCAGCAATGTATCATTGCCACAGATGCCTTCCCTCACTACACTGCTCTGAAGCAACTATTAGACTAATGGGTGCATGAAATGAGGAGTATTGCATACACAGAATGTTGATTATAACACTGAACAAGTAACGTCCCTGTCTGGAGGAAAGGTGTAGCCTATGTAAATAAAACCAAGTTTAGCACTGAGTTTGCAGCAGTACAGGGCACAGCTGACACATACTTACAATCCTAAAACAGCTTTGCAGCCTTCCAGTGTCAGGTTCACTCCAGTCAGTCCCTGGGCCAGGGCTGCACTAGCAGACTTGCATATACCTCTACACCCTGCCACCATCCCTGCACTGCAGCGCAAATGTGCTTTAAAGCCCTCATGCAGTTACAGAGGATCTAACTTCAGCTCCATGGGGAATCCAGATACAAACTATACGGTAATTTTAAATTATATAACCAGCCAAGAGAACTAGAGGATTGTCTCCTGCTACGGTCTTTAAAGATGCATCTAGCAGCAATACCATAAATCACACATCATCAGGTTTTCTCTGTAGCAGTTAAACTAGTTGGAAGAAAATTAAGTTCTAAACTGTGTTAATAAATACTCTATCACAAGAACCAAGCAGCATGCCATCTATTAGGAATAATCGTAATAACCAGTGCTCTTTGCAGGCATCGACAATATACTGGATTAAGGATAATCAGCAATTATTATTCATCTAGACTTCAGAAAAGCCTTTTATTGTCTTTTGAATGTACTTTGTCCAAGGTTAAAACAGTCAGGAGAGGACAGAGTATGTTCTTTTCTGGAACAGAAAATGTTTAAGAGAAGAAAACAAAAATATTTACAGTTCAATGTGTTAACAAAACAAACAAAACAAAGAAAAACCCTCCACAACCAAAAATCTATCATGACTTCAAGAAAATCTGCTGTAACAGAGGAATTAAATTTATGAAAGTTCTGGAGAGGATGCTGAGTTACTTCAGAAGAACACAATAGAACCAGAGAACTATGCAACATTGCCAAATGTTACCTAATCTATGTTGAAAGTAATCAATGGAGTTGCTCAGAAAATTGATAAATTGCCAATAAAGTAGAAGAAAGCCTGACTTTTGATGCCAGCCATTCTTGATGGTTCAGTATGCACATCTGTTCAGTGGACAACATTGAGCATATCTCCACAGAAACACAAACTCTGTTTCAAAGACTCAAATACTTGCTATGTTGAAGTAAAGCCTGACTGACCTCTCAGTCTCAAGACACCATCTCAAGTGTGTCATGCCACAGCATCTCTTGTCTTCAGAGAAATATATGTAATAGACACCTCATAGAATCCAAGCTGTTATGAAATTTATTTTCTGAAACAAAAAATATGCTTAGTAAAACAGCTGCATTACAGAACTGTGAAACACATGAGTGCTTTTGAAGCTCTGGATCCAGCATCACATCCCCTTATCACCACAAGCCCAAACTGGCCTGAAACGTGGCACATACCAGCCATCTTTGCACTCTGGTTTCCACAGTATGGAAACCCAGATGCCAGGCTAGAGCCAGTATATCTAGAACATGCCCCAGAGGGTAAGCACAGACACTACTACAAAAGTACACTTACGAAACCTAATGCTGCTATTTGAGTCCTTTGGAGTCAATAGAACAACAGAAAGTTCCACCACCAGCTCTTGAAAGGTATCAGCAGTCTTTTGACATCTAACAAAACTGAGCTGTTTTATGGGCTTGGTTACTGTATTTGCAGTATCAAAATGCATTGCTGTCCCATGGATAACTTGTTGGAGTCCTGGTAGACAACGGGTTTTCCATGGGGCATCAATGTGCCCTTGTGGCCAAGGAGGCCAACGGAATCCTGGGGTGCATTAAGAAGAGTGTGTCCAGCAGGTTGAAGGATGTTCTCCTCCCACTCTACTCTGCCCTAGTGAGACAACATCTGGAGTGTTGTATCTAGTTCTGGGCTCCCCAGTTCAAAAGGGACAGGAATTCACCTGAGAGAGTCCAGTGAAGGGCTATGAGGATGATGAGGGGACTGGAACACCTGTCTTAAGAGGAGAAGCTGAGAGACCTGGGGCTGTTTAGGCTGGGGAAGAGAAGACTGCGAGGAGATCTTATTAATGTGTATAAGTAGCTAAAGGATGGGTGTCAAGAAGCAGGGGCCAATCTCTTTTCAGTTGTGATCTTTCATAGGATAAGAGGCATTGGATGCAAACTATAACACAGGAATTTCCACCTCAACATGAGGAAAAACTTCTTCACCATAAGGGTGATGGAGAACTGCAACAGGCTGCCACAACAGGTTGTGGAGTCTCCTTCTCTGGAGAATTTCAAGACCCGTCTGGATGAATTTCTGTGTGACATGCCCTAGATTCTGTTGTGGTCCTGCTCTGGCAGGGGGATTGGATCCCAGAGGTCCCTTCCAGCCCCTAACATTCTGTGATTCTAAGGGTTATTTTATGTTAAGTAGCTGAAAGCTATTCATTTGTAGCAGATTAAGGTTATAATATTTGAAGAAACAAAACAAAAAACATTTCATTGGAAAACTGCAGATGTGGATCAAACACAGCATTTCTCAAATTTGCAATCTAATACTGACTTCTAGTATGTTTTTCACACAAGGCATAATTAAACTGTGAAACTCTGTGCCAGTGGATGTTCTGCCTCCTAAAAGTACAAATGAGTTAAAAAGTTACTCGAGAAATTCATGGAATAAAGCATTGTGAAAGACTGTTGAAGACAAAGTTCCAACCTCTGGTCCAGTAGGCACGACAGTTTGCTGGAAGTTTATACCAAGTATTACTGTACGTTTGTTATTTTCGTACACTCCTCTTTTAAGCATCACTACTGCCTATTGCTAGAGAAAGGAGCTAAATGGAACCAGGAGACTGATGCAGTGCAGTATTTTTTACTGGGATACTACAGTTTTTCTTCATGTAAACCACCAAAATTCCTTAAGAAAAACAGTCTTTTGGAATCATGCTGGAAAACCATAACTGCCCCCGGGAAAATACAATAGTCTCTCTCTCTGAAAACTTTTAAGCAAGTTGTCTCTAAAATAATTGCTGTTAGAAATCCTTGCGCAGCATTTCTTCTTTTAAAAAGAGTCCTAAAAAATCAAAACTATCCCAACAGCACAATGATTTATATACTTTTTCTTTCTGCTGGTTTTTTTTTTCCCAACACACTTGCTAAATTTATGAAAAAGATTAATTGCTACTGAACCTGGAGATCATTCTACAGCACTAGAGAATGGTAGGTTTAAAAGCAGATGAGAGCCAAAAGAAGCCTCTAAATGCCACATGAGCAACCCACAATTTTTCTTCTATTCCCATCCAAACAACAATAAAGATATACTGAATCTGCCAGCCCCAGATGTAATGCTCAGTATAAAAACTTGTAAACCAAAAAGAACAGTGAGTAATGTGAATCTTTACTGCTTCAATGTTATTTTATGAACAACAAATCTTAATAACAAGCTGTGACAATTATAAAGTCAGGATGTTTGTAATTTATATGAGGTCACAGAAGGCTCAGAAAGGTTTCTTGTGTTTTCATGAGCAGGCTTCAGTTCTTCCTCTTCCCCATCCACTTGGACAAGTATAGCATCATATTTAGAAACAGACCTGAGTATATTTCTACCAAAGCAGTGATGGGGAGTGAGGGATTATATGTGTTTTGGTTTGTGATTGGGCTTTTACAGACGGGAACACAGATCACTTTGCAAGGACTGAAATAATTAAGTGCTAATTGACTATCTAGCACCTATAAAGAGGTAATTCACCCATGTCATCTCTCATCTGGAAAATGCAATTATTATTAGCAGAGAAAGGACTGCGTATTTAGTGGTCAGCATAAGATAGTCCTAAGTATTTGTGAATGAGAGCAGAAAAATAGGGGGCAAATAAGGATATGAGTGGTTTTAATGGATGATTAAATCTGGGTAGCTTGATCTCTTTTCATGCTGTGGATGTTGTGTGCTGCAGTCACGCCTCTCACTGCCAGCCTGCACTGGGATGATAATCAGTCACTAGGAAAACTCATTAGCTCCACAGCAATGAGTCCTCCACTGCTGAAGCTTGGGGCTGTTCTTAGTACCATGGCAATGATCTCTAACTGGATGTCCCAAACCCTCCCATCTTTGGTAGGACTAAATACCACCAGAATAACCACTTCAGATACTCTAGTAAGTAGCTGTGATGTGTTTCAAGCCATCTTAATGCTGAAGTAGTATTTAAATGTCAGCAAAAGCTTTAGTTTTGTTGCCTCTTTGTAAATCTCTTTTTAAGCTACTAATCTTCCTATCATCACTTAATGCATGCTTCTGGTAAAACTCCACATTGGTGAGCATGTTGTGGTCATACTATGCAAGGAAAAAATGTAAAATAGCATCCTTAAATATTGAAGAACAATGCCTTCACCTAGAGCATGAATTGCTAAAAATAGTACAGCAGTGACATTTCATTTGTCTAGACATTTTTTCTATGTTTACTGCTCCAGAAAAATGTATTGCATTATTAAAAAACCCAAAAAAATGAAAAACAAAAAACAACCTGTCAGTGGGTTTATTTTTGTCTAAATAGTGTTATATATTAGCTATTCACTACAGTGTTCAAGGCATCTGAATTTTTCCTATTTTTCTTTACTGGATCACAGAGTTCAGCAAATAAATAGCTGTTATGGGGAAAAAAAATAAATTAGGAGGTTAAGTACCAGAATTTTAGAAAGACTGATACAGGAATAATGCAAATGACACAAATATCACTTTATATGGTGATGCTCTTATACAGCAGTCTCTGTTAATGAAGATCTACAGAAAAGCTGTGATTAACTACTTATGAGAAGCCTAAATATTAGAGCAATATTTCAGTTGGAGAAGACAGAACACTAGACTGTTATTCATAAATTAAACTAGAACACCATTTTCCTAAATGTTTAGTAAAACACCCTGTATCTTTTTGTGTAACAGCAATCAGATGTTTACATAATAGTGTGTTATGTAAAATGGAAATTTAACTATTTGTACAGTAGTTCACTATGCTCAGAAGTAAGTTTTTTAGTTGTAACTAAAAATTATGCATTTACTAATCAACTTTTAATTAACTGAATAAATGCATGCAGGGACAACATTACTGCAGAAAATCACTTTATGTCGACTTTAAATATTACTGCTTTAAAATTAATTAAATGATGTTCTAAGAAAGAATTCTGTTGTGTTTTTTAGATCAGCAGGAAGGTAAGAAAAAAAGAAAAAGCTCTATTTTATTTTCCTTAGATGTAACTTGTGCTCATTGAACAACAGTATATATTGCTAGTTCTTGTGGCAATCTATTAGAAGTATTGAAGATCCCTGTCATGTTTAAATCCAACATCTAAGTTGCAACAGAGTAACTAAGAGAAACACTACTTATCTAACAAACATACAAATATGTTTATACACACACAAATATATATGAGTTTATATATATTAAAATGTTCAGATTCCAAATAGTGTAAACTGTCATGCTTCCCTTGGCTACAAAAGGGCACTGCTGATGTAAATGCCTCCTAGGTATTATTTCAGTAACGCTCTGGACTCACTGAGTTGGAGTTATATGCACATTTGTGTTTCAAGAGGGGTAGCAGGGTGAGTACAAATTATAACATTCTATGCAATCATCATAGCCTCTGGGCTAGCAATTTTTCTAGGGCAGGCATCCCAGCTACCAGCCACAGTTCTAGTCCTACCAAGTTCTGCCTTGAACTCAGGGAATCTGTGTTGTTGAAAGCTTTATTGGAAGCTGGAATATAAAAAAAAAAAAAAAAAAAAAAAAGGTGGGGTTTTTTTTGCACAAACCCAGGCATCCCCAGTTTCCTCCCTTCAGCTGGAAGAATTGTACAAGGAGGTGGGGTCAGGGAAAGGGCTTCCTCTTTTCAGCTCACTCCCAGAATTAAAAGACAAACTGAAAAATACCTTTTATATTTAAGCATTTATTTAAGTATATGTACTGCCATTTGCTCTATCATGGAAGAAACTGTAGCTGTAAGTGCAAGTAAAACAATTCTTTTGGAGGGACATTAAGTCTGTAGCACAGCAGCCTGCCAAAACAATTATTAAATTGGTCTTTGTAGGGATTCATCTGTTTTCCCCAAATTTTAAAAACCAGCATAATTTATTATCTTTGCTATTCTCCACTTGTTATTTCTTTTCTTATTTGTTTACTAAGGCCTATCAGCAGTAAGCCTACATTGAAAGAGCAGATTCAGTAGCTTCTGTAAGGTCTCGATGCCTTCTAGCTCCTTCCTTGCAAGGCACAGAATTTTCTGCTTGAGGTCGTGATTAAATGCCAAACAAAAACCCAAAATGAACAAACAAACAAACAAAACAGGAAAAAAGATAAAAGAGAAAAGTGCACCTACATGCACATGCTTGTTTAACTCAGTGATCACTCACATGACCCACCCTAGTAAATGAAGGATCTCTACTGGGCCAAGCATAGGGAAGCACAGAATACCACAAAGAACTGTAGAAGTACCATGTGAAGTACCATATTTATGCACTGTAGAAAACATTCTAGAATACAGTGAAACCAGTTGCTACCAGTCTAAATGTAGCAGATATAAGTCTCAAGCATCAGATTTTTTCAAATACTCATATTGAATCTTTCTGTCTTAAAAGTATTCACAAGCTCTAGGTTCCTGAATTTCAACAAAAATATGGTTTCTCTGCTCTTGTGTGACAACACTGCCTGGACATAATTTCCATGGAGAATCATGGAAGCTGCTGCAATAATGAGAGCTTGCACTTGGCAAGGGTTACCAGCCTTGATAGGCTTCAGTTGTTTGAGTTTGCAAATTTAGTAGCTGCTCAAAACCAATTTAGATCTTATCTGCCGGTGTAATTTTGTTTTTATTGTTCTCCATGTCTTAAACTAGATCCCCTTTGTCCTAAAACTTAAGGTGAACAGAACACCACAGAGGCAACATAATTTATCTCTGAACTCTGGATATGCCTTTCTAGCAAGCCCGAAGGCAAGCTTAGCTCTCATCTTTTTACAGATATCTACATTATGACACTTTGTTTTTTCTTGAAAAAACAGGGGAGCAATAATTTTGATTTTTCAATTAACTCCTCAGTAGAAAAGGTCATGACTATCTTCAGTTACTTCTTTAGAAGAGTCATTGTTGTGAAAACTCTGTGCCCTTTTTTAGGCTCAGTCTACAGAGATACTGCACCTCTTCTGAGGTGAGGAACTCTGCAACTTGCTCTGCACTAAGCCATCAGTAAAGCATTAATAGCAAAGTGTGCTGGTTTTAAAGAATCACTCTCTGTGACAACACTGAGTACAATTTTCTATTAAAAGTAGTCATTGATTACAACTACATCCAGACCAAAATTACTTAAATGGCATCCATTAGCATCTGTACTATGAAGTTCAGTAGGCGATGCTATATTATTAGAAAAGAATAATATATAGTATTAGCTTTAAATTACAGATTTAAAATAAAAATATTTTTTCTTGTGCCCATTAGTTTTAATTCCATCACTTGAATCTTTTCAGTCGTGTTTTTACATTGCTTTCTCTCATTCTTATCTGTGTATTTCTATACATCCTATTGAACGGACAGATATCTACTCTCACAAGGTATCACACAAACTTGAAATGCAGTGCAAGATTTCTTGCTTTTCTTTCTCTGTGGTGGTGGTTGCTGCAAGAAAGAACAGGTTAGGAATTTCCAGAATCCTTCTGCCCCAGTGAAGGATGTGCAATATTACTTGCAGTGTGCCTGATTGCCATGATCACCATCTGCCTAAACTAACCAAAATTTTTCAGCACTACCCTGCAGCCAGCTTCTCTTCCCTCTGGTGCAGATGCAGTAGAAGTCAATGGAGAACAGTTTCTGTGTGCTATATCTTTAAGAGCAAACCTGCTAACCCACATCCCAAACTGCTTCTGAGCCAATTCCCAACGCATGAGTCACATACTCTGTGCTCTCTCTTTGAGGTTTTATATTTGTTCTTTTTGGTCTTCATTGTTTCCATTAATCTAAAGTAAAAGTCATTCAGGCTGAAAGGACATGTTTGTTTTCTGCTGATGAAAAACCATAACATTCCTTTGCAAAGAATTATATCAACTAGTTTGTGCTGAATCGAAAGCAGGAAACTGTTCTCATCTACCCTGGAAACAGTATGTGCTGGACACTTCTAGGGAACCATTACAAAGATGTGTAATATGACAAAGCTGTGAAAAACCACCAATCTAATTAGTTGAGAGTAATATGTGTTGAATCTGAGCAACTTCATTGCAAACATATACTGCAAAAATAAAAATATTCTGAGGTGGTGATTTTTCAAAGAACTAACATATCAGCTCAGTCTATTTCATTTTTATTATTCGGTTGTTACAGACTCAGATTAGCCCCAAGGAGGGGTGGCAAGTTTATAGTTCAGCCCAGGATCCTGACGGCCGTTGCATTTGTACTGTTGTTGCACCTGAACAAAATCTATGCTCAAGAGATGCCAAAAGCAGGCAACTCAGACAGCTGCTAGAGAAGGTAAGTCTTCCCAACAAATTCCTCATTTTGGTCCTTACACTTTCCATGGAAATCCACTCCCTTCCCTCTGAGCTTAATACATAATGTAGTATGGAAGAGTTACCTAACAAAAAGTTTCCTACAGGATATATACACTACCCTTGTTCTCACTGCTGATCGTCATTTGCCTATTTTGCCTTATATCACACCTTTCCCAACCCAAGGCACTCATCTAGCAAACTGAAGTTGCATCTTCTCTCTTGCTCACTACGCCCTTACACACAGATAGGACTGATTTTTCTGTGCAAAAGTTATAAATGCCACAGCAAACTAGCTAGTTGCTGTGAGATTTAAACTACAGCTTCTGCTTCAATCATACCAGATTGTTCAGGGTCATTCCTTGGTTCTCATCAACAAATAATGAGATAGATGTGACAGCACCCTCAAAGCAGACTGTACAGAAGAGGAGTTGTAATTTTCTTTCATTTATTCTTTCCTCAAATAATACTGTTTATTTGTTCTCTGGTGGTACAAATTTTGACCAAACAACGCAATTCTTATTTTCAGTATTAGCCACTATTGCATATATAGTAAAACCAGTGAATTGTTATTTTGCCACAACAACTGAAAAAAAATGCTGCAACCATGAAAACAAATGATTGTTCTGCATTCCCTGTATGAATAACCAAGGTTACAGTTGTTGTATCACAGCTAGTGAGGCCTGAGTGTGTCTCAACAGCAGCAGAAAGCAACATCAAATGTAGACTTAAAAATACATTCTAGCATAAAATGTTAAGATTTTCTCTAGCTATAGAAAAATCACTCCAATGCTAATAAATGCCAGATCCTCACAGATTTTCCTTTCATAGACTTCAGTGAGGACTTAGTTTAAGGATGTGACATGAGATGCAGCAAGATGATATTGCTGAATCAGAGCACAGAGCATGCTGTCTGTTTACCTAGGTGGAGATTTCAGTCCCCAGAGTCTTTGCTCTAACATGTTTCCCAAACACTAGAATAATAATGTAAAAAAATCTTACTTTCTTTTGGGTTGGGGCTCTTGGGCGTGTTAAGATCTCAACATAGTTTTTGAGCTGCCACAGGAAAGAATCTAAATCATCAGGCTCTAAAGGTTTTCTTATTAGTAGAACTGTGGTAATTATGGGTATGTAAAGTCATGTTATTATTTCACTAAGTCCATGCAGAATAATTTCATTAGAGCCTCTATATGAATGCATCTGCCAAGTGGAAACACACAAAGTTCCTCCAAGACCTGAAGGACTTTACTTGCCTGCTTTCAACAATTAGAAAGCAAAGAATAAAATAAGTTTTTTTTTTTTAATTAAAAATACTAAGAACTGCTAATGGCACTTGTGCAATAAGTAACGTATAGTATTTTGAAGAGTATTTTAAGAGTATTTCTGGAATCCATAAGTTATGTAGGTCACAATATATTCATTTCAAACATGCTTATCTGTTCAACCATTGCATATTCTTGCAAATAACAGGAACACTATTGGCTTTGTCTTTTATTAGAAAGATATAATATTTATTTTTTTTTTTGCTTGTGCCAAACAATATAGTGCCTAATATATTTGCAGCAGTCTACGTTTTTTCATGTTTGGGGAAAACAAAGTAATTATTGGAGCAGAATCAATGTTCTTGCGAAGTGTGTAATTTTTATGACTGGCAGAAGCATTGCTTTTATAACAGGTACTGTAAAAAATACATATAATTTACTGTAAAAATATACATATAATTTACTCTAGATGACAATTACTCTGCCTCATTGTGATAAAAGTGCTCACTACAGCAATGTCACTTGGTTTGCAAAAGTTATCTGAACATTCACCATTTCTCATCTGTAAAAAATGCGGTTTTCTACCAATGAGACAATTGGATAAAATTTCTAATTTTATACCTACTTACAGAATCATGAGCAAAAATCTATGTGATGATGGGCACAATCCAGCATATCTCTGGATAAACTTCACCCTTACAAAAACTCCAAATCTCCATCCTGTCCCTCCCAAAGTGCTTGTGAGGAAACACATGCTGTATGTATAGCACATCCTGAAGTCTTCTACAAGTGACAAAGTGACTCCACTGGCTAAACAGCCTTTTTTGAGCCTATCGATAACAGTGCTAAAAAGGTCTCTCTCTCTGCCTCAAAGAGCCCAAATAATTTGTCTCTAAGGTCTTACTCCTGATAATCCTCTGTTAGCCCTGTTCCCCAATTTTTGTACTGTCAACAGTTATGGAATTAAAAACTATACTTTGGTATAAATTACTCAAGTAAAGGATTGCCAATAAGCACATTTAATTGCCTGACATTTAATTACCTAACCAGGAAAGAAAGTAAAGCAACAAAAATGCATTTAGAGAGTGTTCTTCTTTAACAGGTTCAGAATATGTCCCAATCTATTGAAGTTTTAAATCTACGGACTCAGAGGGATTTCCAGTATGTTTTAAAAATGGAAACACAAATGAAAGGGCTGAAGGCCAAGTTTCGGCAAATTGAAGATGATCGGAAGACATTAATAAAAAAGCATTTTCAAGTAGGTTTTATTTTAACACTAACTTTGAAAGCCTGCTGGAAACAATGTACTAAGCAGCAATGCATGGACTGCTAAGATCTCAGCTTGAAATGCTCATAAAAGAGCAACATTAAAAAGAAAAGCACATTGCAGCTTCCTTTATTATGATAATCTTTCACTCTGTTCAATGTAATTGCAACAGGGACTAACCATTAATTAAGGCATTAGAGAAACGTCACTTTAAACAGGTTCTTTTTGCTGTATCAATGTGCATGTCATACTGAAACATTTATATTCGTTCAGCCTTCAGTGATAAACGGGGAGATCCAATGGAATTAATAGCAAACAACAAGAGTTCTGCACTTGTACTGTTGCCTGACATTTACGGCACTTGAATGGAAGAAAGCCTATAATAAATCAGGTTATTGTAATTTTTATCCAGTACAATTAAGATCTAATTTCATGTCTGAAAGTTTGCTATTTTGAATTTGGGGTAGGGGAGGAGGGCAATCTTTCTTAATCATATTTCTGTGATTAAAAAAAAGATTTCCAAGGAATTTTAATGACAATACAAACCACAAGCCACTTTTAGTGAGGAAGGAAAGTTGCAGAGATTACAAAATCGCATTCTGTGTTGTGAAAAAGCTATATGAAGTACTCTTAAGAAAAAAATGTTAAAACAACATCTTTAAGTTCTATAAGTATCATCTGATTAATTGATATTTCAAGACAGCAAGATAGGATCTAGAAAATACATTCTGAGAATTTCATTTTGTTAACCAAATATATATTTTTAAGTGTTTATGAAAATTCACATAAATGGGACAATTTTCTAATTGGTGCTAAAGTTAGATACCTAAACAAACACATAGTTAAAAGGGTTCTCATTTATTTTTCAGAGACACTGAGTATCCAATGAGTCTTAATAACATCAGGAATTAAATACACTGATGATTTACTAAACTTTATGACATCATTCTTGGTTACCTTTAGAGTCTGAGCACATACTTCTGATTATTTACAGGTCATAAGAGAAGTTGCCACCTGTTTTCCCTTCATCACTCCTTGACACAACAACACATTTGTATAATCCATTATATATTCTGTATTCTCATTACAGTTTTCCTTGGAAACAAAAGATCAAAATTTGAATGTTTGATACGCGATGTCAAATGTAGCAGATTTCTGCGGTACTCTAACCTTTTAAATATTCCATATTTATACTGGCCAGTCATTTAACTTCAGTTTGACAGTTTGCCAGAGGTATAAAACAGATTTCCAGCCAATCAAATTATAGAGTAATTTAAAAGGTCAACATAATACAATATGCTGCTTGGTCTCTGAAATTTGACCTACTAAAATTCCTGTGCTTTATATTTGAGACAAAGAAACTCATTCTTGATATTGCATAACCCCCTCAATACCAGCAGGGACTATGCCAGAATGTATCTACCACCTATCTGTGGTACAATACAAATTAGTTATTGTACCAGTCATCATAGCACCAAATAAGGAGTGCCAGGAGAAACCAATACAATTATTTTCTTTATCATGTAACTACCAAAGCCATCTTTACATCTTTTACTGGTGAGGTGTTTAAACACTCTGGTTCCATGTTGATGAGAACAAAAGAGCACAAATTTGATCCAGATCACACTTGACCATATGGTCATACTTAAGTCAAATCAGCATTTAAGCCAAGCAGGAGACACCTGATTGCCACAAAAAGTTACAGCAGTTTGTTTGAACAAATCCTCATCTGGCTTAAATCCTACCTATAAGTTACCTTCACTAACTCTCTTAAACATATTTTATCTTCCTGAGATTTTACAAGCTCTGCAATTTTTTTACATTGTGGTTTACCCATTATTTTTGGCATTTTAATGCCCCACAGAATCAAAGCTTCATAATTTCAAAAGCAAGTAACAAAAACTTTGACTTCTGGAGCTCTGCTTTCTATGTCATAAACCGAACTCTCCTTTTAATCAAGAAAAAATAACTATTCATTTTAACAGGCATAAAGTAGGCTCAAGTTATTAATAAAAACAGTCAAATAAGTAGTTTTGAACTGGAGACAAAAAGACTATCCACTTCTTTCTGGCCATTTTGGTAATTCTGCTACTATAATGTAATCGAAAGACTGCTTGAGAACAGAACCAATTGAACTCCTAATACTCTCAAATACAAACTCCTAATACTCTTAAAATGCCCTTTTTTGGCTGTTAAGACCTGTGTACTTCTTTACTACATAAATAAGTATTTATTTTGAAGAAATAATCATTCCAATATGAAAGCAATTGTTAATACAATGGGGATATATTAGTTAGGCGATAAAGAGATACTGCAGAACTCTTGAGCTGTCTTATAACATGTTTCAGAGGGAAAAATTCAAAGGCAGATAGATCTTCAGGTAGCTCAAATGATGACCCTGCCTATCAGCTTCTTTCACATCTCCTTAGCAAAAAAACATTTGGTATCATCACGTTGTTTATTTTGAAAATGTCCTACCCTGTTTATTGCATCCTTTAATACAAGTGATGTAACAAACCGAACACGTGTGTCTTCACACACCTCAGAGACTACATTAACCTCTAACCACGTTTGGTCCTGCACCTCTTTCTCATGCTTGGGCTTCCATTTAGTTCTGTTCTATTTTCCCTTTTAACTACTCCAGCTATCCTTCAGATTTTTTCTTTTTTAACACCTTCAATACTCTCTCCCTGTCCCAGGCACTGCTACCACTTCATGCTAGTACTTATGAAATCTTTATTTCCGTCCTTTGCCTTGTTTTGCCCAGGCTTGCATCTCCTCATATCCCTGCCGTTTACTCACGGAAGTCCTCCTGTTTCCTCAAGTTATAAAAAGATATGCAAATCTCTATACACAGATGATACATCAGGGACAAACCCATCTGCTTTTCAATAAGACAAAACCTTTTGACTGCAAGGAGTCTTTGAGGTTTTCTACAGAAAACTGAAAAAAAACCCACCTCAAAAAATTAGTTTAAATTTAATAAAGTGCTTATGATTAGTGTATTTAAAAGAACAATTCAGAAATTAAAGACAAGCAGTCAGTATAGGTTACAAACAAACTCTCAAAGTATATGACTCAGCAAAATTCTAAGAAAGGGATGACCAAAGATCCCAAGCGGAGCCGTATTTTATTTAATCTATGTTTAAGAATAGGACTGGCAACACAACAACCACTGCATATGACCAAAAAAAAAAAATATTTGTGATAGTCCAGAAAAGATCAACCGAGGAAGTTCAAAGGCATTTAGTGATGTAGCAGGATGACAAATACAAAGCACAGTTAAAAACCATGGATATTTTACTTCAGAAGAAAAAGCAGCATGTCACTGTGGCTGGAAAACAACAGTGTTCAACAGCCATTGAGAAAAAAAAATAATTCAGAATTTCTAAGGAGTGAAATAGAAATTAACAGTTCACCAACTACGACAGCACTGTAAAGCAGGTGCGATCTCCTTGAATCTCACTGTGAGTTCAGGTCTAATCACTTTCTCTCAAGAAAGATGCACTTAGTGGAGATTTATATCCTCTGCTTGGGAAGTCAGATCTTTAACAGGTTTGGTTCAGATTGCTTGAAGGTAAATGTATACTTTCAGTAGAAAAACTGTTCCCTCCTGCATTTTACTTACTGCTTACTACCATTAGGTCTGAGGTGTCAAAGATTTTCACAATACTCTAATAACAGACCTTTAGCTCAAATCAATAATAATGTTCAAGTCATTTTAATAATCAGGCATAAATATTACATTAAAGGGAAGTAGGGGATTGAACTCCTTTAAACTGCTCTAATGCACATTTGATTGCCTTTAACAGGAGTTGAAAGAGAAGATGGATGAGCTCCTGCCACTGATCCCAGTTCTGGAACAATACAAAACTGATGCCAAATTAATCATCCAGTTCAAGGAAGAAATTAGGAATCTGTCTACTGTCCTCACGGGGATTCAGGAAGAAATTGGAGCTTACGACTATGACGAACTACACCAGCGTGTCCTCAGTTTAGAAAACAGGCTTCGAGACTGCATGAAAAAGCTCAGTAAGTTAACAATTTCATGTCAGATTTGGTTCCTCAGTTGTATATTTTTTAGTTGCCTCTATCGAAAGAGGAAGATTTCTTCTTTCTTGATTGATGAAAGATTGCATTATATTCCTATCTGTGCTACTCTAATAAAAGTCAAGAGTAACTCAACATAAGGTCAGTCATATCATTCTAAGTTTGGACCAGTGTATCTTATATAATGGTCTGCCCTACTGGATACTTTTTTTTAGCAGGAATTAAGTTGGAAAATTATGACCGCAAATTTAAAACCTAAGAGATTTACAACCATTGGAGAGCTACAAATATGCCTTCAAAAAGCTCAGACAGGCATTGCCTCTTAGGTCAGCTTTGGGGAATAAAAAAAAAATAAATTAGCGGGAAGTAGACTGGAGTCAGTTTTAAGATGTCCATGTCATAACCCCTGTCATCTCGCTATGACACCCAAGAGGCCACTCATATTGTACTGTCTTTGGACCTGTAATATTATGAGTAGGAGAGATGTGCCACTCTCCAAGTCGCGATGGAACACAATTAAGCATTACACCTATTTTAAGGGAACAAAGCATGATTTTTTTGGGGGGAAGCACAGCAACAATCCATTATAAGCACTGCAGTAGATTTACATCAGCCAGCTTCCATCTTGTTTTCTCACATGCTGGCTTTAGTTAGAATAAGTCAAACATTCACCCTCTCTGAAAACCAGTGCTAGCTCACTATCAGCTACCAAAACTAAAAGCCTGATGTATAGTTATAAAGTGTCACCCTTAACTTCCCTTACTCGAAGGGGAATTAGTACCTAACTGCTTTACAATCACAATACAAAGTCCTCCCTGCCCCCTCTCCCCAACCTGTATTATAGAACTCCTGCATTAATCGCTACTGCAATCTGGATTGCTATAGCAAACAATCCAGCCCCTCTATGAGAAATAAACACTTCATAAGTTAACAGTGAAAATTAATAAACTAGAAATTCCAAGGTTTAGTCCTGTGATTGGTATCACCAGTATCAAATGTGGGATGTGTACTTTTAAATGCTACGTACAACATTAAATATGCTAACTTGATAAGCAGTGCCTCTATTTTTGTGAGAGTAAGAATCTAGGTTAGATTGGTTTCTTACATTATTTATTCTCAATTTCTTGATTTTTGCACAAGCAATAACACAGTGATGATAAAAAACATTAAAGACTTCTTCAAACAGAAACATCTTATGATCCTATTTTCCCTAACAAACTAGCACATCACTGCACTGCCAGGAGGCAGTCAGGAGAAAATGGCTGCATTGCAATATCGCAGCAAGAAAATTCATACAGACAGACAGTATTTTTTCATAGTGTTCTAGTAAGTTTGACTCGAAAAGATCATCAAGCTTATCTTTAATGAGTAATTTGGTTTTCTTTATTTTTAAGGCATATTCTTGTAAAATGGGTTAGTGATATGACTACAGTATAAGACATTTTATACATTGGAAGGACTAGGTGTATTCACAGGGGGCTCTTCTCAAAAGTTGTTTACTATTTCCCTATTTTTTCATCCACATTTCTCCTCCTATCTATCCTGAACTCCTACAACACATTCCATTTTTCTTGATGTGCTAATGTAAAAAAAAAAAACAACACACCTATTGAAGTTCTATATTTGTATTAAATAGACTATTAAGGACATCCATTACTAAAAGTGGTTTGGCCTTCTCAACTCTAACACACTTATTTATCCTTATTGGCATTATTCTCTGCTCTTTGATACTTAAATGACTTTTATGCTTCTGTACTAATGGACTGGCTGTATTCCTGGCCTGCCCCTGTGTGTCTTTTAAAGTAAGAAGTTTCAGTTAGGCTTACTGTGAGTAACTCCTCAAAGCTGGTACTGTGTGTTCAGATCAGCAAGCATAAAGGAAGAACAGCTTTCATGTCTACACCTTCTCCCAAGCTGGAGATGATCCAGCTGTCACTGTCCGTACCAATCTGACGGCCAGAAGCCTACAGCAGCAGAAGGCAGACTGACCCCCATGTGCCACAGGCTCTGGCTTGAATCTTCACAGATTTTGTTGCATTTCGCAATGTAACTATCTAACCAGCACACATAATAGCTATTTTCCATTCTTCTCCCTAGCAGGTGTGTTTCAGCAATAAAATGCATTATTTATATTGTCCTGTCCACTTTAAAAGGGATCTTCCATCTGCACTGGTGACTTTACTTTCACAGAGGCTTAATGACTACCACAGCAGATGCAATGACTGAAACTTGCTCCTTCTCTTTGGAATAAGAGAAATTCAGGCTGAAGCTGCTGGGAAATTTGTCTACAAAACTTTAAAAGACTGCATGCAATGAAACACAAAGTAATAGAGGCATGCGATTTCACACACCGCAAATTAACATACACATATGCACATCTGGGTCCTTAGCTGGCAGTCATGTAAGGCATGTGCATTTGTAAGAGAAGGTTGTACAGTATGCTTGAGAACCTCCTGTTCTTGATAGGTGTTTATAAAATTGAAAAAGTTATATGGGTAATATTAATAGAATCCCATCATCTGCCCAATGTTGCTTATGAAATACAAATGAATAATTAGACTACACAATGCACAATGGATTCATTTGTAGCTACAGTTGATTATAATGTAGAATCTATAGAATATTTTACAGTAATATTTTTTGTTAGAAATTCAAAAGTAGAATATTGTATGTATCCAAATAAATGCTGTTAAATCAGTGACAGAAGAGGTATTATTGCAGGCATGAGATTACTTTATTGATTGCAATGCTACTTGTGTATCTACCAGAGCATCCTTCCTTTTGGGATTTGAAGAACTTTGCAAATACCATTTAGTACAAAGCTGTGCAAATAAAGATACATATTGTTAACCCCATTTTGTAGATGAAGGAACAAGCAGCCCAGGAGGGTAAATTACTTTCCTAAAGATTGCACAGCAAGTCCTTGCACACGTGCAGAAGAATCCAGAGACTTTCTCTCAGCAATCTCTAGTGACTATAGTGCTTCCTGAATTTGTATTATGTAGGACAACCAGCATACACCCATTAAGAATTTATTCTTCATTACCTCACATTACAAAGTAATGCTATGATAAATTTGATCATAAGCAGGAGAGTGCAAGTAGTAAAACACTTATTCACTTCATTTCCCCCTATTTATTACCTACAATAAATAGAAAAATATTACTTACAAACACTTCAACAGAATGTTTTGATTTTATTTCCTTCTATATATATCATGCATTCATTGGACATATGTAGCAGCTACCAATATTAATTTGCATAACAGAGACTGGGACTATCAATTACCTATTCCTAGCTATTTTCAAATGGGCTCCTGTCCAATTGGTTTATCACCACCTTCTGTTAGTATTTGCTCCCTTTGGAGCAGCTTTCCGGATGCATTCTTCCCCAAAGACCTTCCCAGCCTACAGGGGTGTCACCTCTCCTTTCTTCCATAATATACATAAATACAGGAAGTTACAAATGAACTTAACGAAGTCCACAGTACAAAACTGTTACACAAGAGATGAATCAAGCCTTAAACAGCCAGATGGTGCATGATATGATGTTCCTTCTACAGTTCAATTTAGCATGGATAAACACTCAAAGGTTGGATTTTCCAGTTACTACAGTCAGTTAGTTTGGATTTTCTAATGTAGACAGGTCTTCTTTTAAAGTCAAGCGAAAGAGACTAGTATTGAGTTCTTCTAAAAATCCCGCTCTTCTGTGTAAAACCATCTGAACCTACAGATGGTAGAAAAAATATGGCAAGAAATATAATATTTTTCTTTCATCATAAGGTTCCTGAACTTCCTGCCATTTGCTAGTATCAATAAATATTTGAACTCCCTTTTCACTAGCATTTGGTCTTTCTCCTATCAAGGAATGAAGAGCAGAGGTTTGCTATAAACCAAAACTTTTCAACCACATAAAAAAAAGCTTTCCTGCCATCACAAGAGTTATTTATACATACTCTTCTGTTCCCTTCTCTGAAATAAAAAAAAAATAATTAAAAAAAAATATAAAAAAAAAAAGAGAGAGAGAGAAAAAAGGTGGAAAAGGGGCCATAGGCCAGTTTTCCCTACATATAAAATGAGCTAAAAAAATGTCTCGGTTGGAAACTAATTGAATTTTTTTTAAATTTCATACTCCCAGACTTGCCACACCACAAAAGTGTTAAGTAAATGATCCTGCTTTTCAGTATATTAGTATCACCGTTCCCTAGCAAGAAACCTCAGCATTCAAGATCAATTTTAACACAGCCACATAAAGAGTTTATATTCAGCAGTTAAAAAAATATCAGCTGGGATTAGATCAATACATTTCATACTTAAGACTTCCTGGTGGAGGAGTAAGGAAAATTTCTTACTCTGATACTAAGTTAGAGGTACTTAAAACCACACGAAACTCACCTTGTTTTGCCAGTTAACTGTTAAACATTACATTGAGCTTTACTTTTGAAAGAGTTGTGATTCATGTAACTTCTGAATCAAATGGAAGATCAGACACAAGCAAGCTAGAAGGGAATCACCTTTATAAAGCCAGTATCGCTAATTATTTGGGTGTTAAACAGATTGATAAACTGTGTATTGTAACACAATGCCATCAAAATGCTGTGATACTCATCTGGAATAAGTTGTTTAATTGTCAATATATACTTCATATATTAAGCTTCTGTGCCTAAGGATCTCCCAACTATAATGAGGCTGTGACAACAAGACAGGTGGGCACTGGCAGCTCTACTGCTTCCTTCCTACTGCCCATGCTGTCAGCAAGTGGGCCAAGAGACCTCAGGCACAGCTGAGGTTCACAGCAGAAACCTACTGATGGGATACAAATTGTCACTGAGGTGGGAATGGCTTACAAGGTGTGGAAAAAACACTTGTAGTATTACTCCTTAGTTTTGAATACCAGTTCCATCAAGTTATATCACAACTAGGTAGATTCAAGAGGTTCTATTTTATGAATAAGGAATAGATGGGACATACTACATGGCAGGAGGAAATAAACCACCTGATGCCTTTGCTGAAAAGAGAAGCTTTGTCACTTTCTCAGTCAGCTGCTCCTCAGCTATATAGGAACTCCCCTAACAGTCTTCCTCTCTTGATATCACTACATGCTACCTGGGATTAAAAATTTAGTCACATAAACATACCCTGACTCAAACTTCTGATCATTTAACCAGCTGTAGAAAACCTATAAGATTCTTTAAAATGTGAAATTCCAAAATATCTTCAAAAGATTGTAAGATACATAGACTAAGAGATGTAAATAACAATGCCTTGGAATTGACCTGGAAAATAGACACAACCTACCCTGCTCATTGAGGTCTCAGCATGTACTTTGTTATCTTGATTTCTATTAAACTTGATTTCCGTGGCCATAAACAAGAGTACCCATGAGTGGCCCCTGACTTGTCACCACAGATTTCTTAATTGATGGAAACAGACTTCACAATATATTCCTTGCCAGTTACATAAAGTAAAAAAATCCAGGCTTGATGCAACCTTCTCTTTTGAACTGAATAAACCCACTCTCAACACCAGATACAGTTTGCTTTCCATATTTTCAAGACAGACAGAGTTATACAATATAGCACAACCATGTATCATGGAGAAGCACTTATTTTTAAATTAAAGAAATAAATTGTGTCACTTTTTACATTCTTGTGGCACATCTTCTATTAAAAAAAATGTTATTTTATCTAATCACCTACATGTCACTGTGTGATATTGGCCCTCTTGGTAAACATGAATTCCAGCAGGGGCTTGTTGCTAATAGGTATGTTATTAATGTCCCCTACAATATAGATTTTTGGATTGTTAGAAAGGTCAGCATCCAAGATCGTATCGACTCTCATTATTTCCTCCCAGACAGTCTAATATGAGACAGTCTAATGGATTAGAAGCCAACCAATCCAGCCAAGATTGCTGAATAATTCTTATATTCTCTTTCTTAACTTCAGACAGGCCCCTAATAATGGAACAGCTGTGTGTGTAACCACAGGACAGACAGATACAGAATTGTGTGTACCACTACTCTTCTTGTGTACAAGCTCATTTTTTCCTGCTTTTAACCTCTTTGCTACTCTGGTCAATGGAAAACTGAAGCATTAACCAGTCCTAGCCTTGCACTGAACTTTCTGAAGGCAATATTTAGGGGAGTTTAAGTCATCTTTTCATTTATTATCAAGTGTTTATTTGCTTCAGTTCACAAGGTACTTTACTAGGTTGTAGTACTATTTATGCCTAGAAAATATAACTGTTTTTAAATATATAAAACTGAAAACATACACAAATAATTTTTTGTGTATTTGTATGTATTTCTATTACTGCTTAATACAGAAAAGTCCATACAGTGAAGGTGACAATCCATCTTCAACACAAGCCTGTATCCCCGGAAGCCACTATATAGTTTAGAGCAATTGGTCTTGTACTTTGACTGGTGCCAAGGAGAGTTGTGTAATTATTTGCATTAATACTTTTGTTTTTCTAATTTCAGCATGTGGCAAATTGATGAAAATTACAGGCCCCATCACAGTGAAGATATCTGGAACTCGATTTGGAGCCTGGATGACAGATCCATTAGCATCAGAGAAAAATAACCGAGTACGTTTAGTAACTGAATATCTTTGTGTTCTTCTGGAGTTTTACTTGCTTTGTTTTAATCTTTAAAGATATATTTTCTCCCTATAGGAGGTTACACTTAAGCATGTTTCTTCTGCTTCCATCATTTATGAAGTGAGACATCTTCATAGAAAAAGCAACAGTGTTTGTGCTAAAATATCCACATACAAAAGCGAACTAAGCACCTTTGTGCCATTTCCTTCAACTGCTTCAGAGATGGCATATACCCATCTGAACTGACTACATAATTTTTTTTCTTTTACCATATTTCAGCTTGAATCTTTAAGAAACAAATTAATGTGACGCAAACATCAACACTTCTATCCAAGAGCATCACTCATAATGCAGCATAGTAAAAATTTGCAGGGTTAGGCCATATGTAAGCTCCATTCCAACCATTTGCTGCCTTAGACCCAAGCTGTTTTATGGTTTGGATTTACAATAGGATCTCAAATTGGACTCAGCTTTGTGGATGTGCTCCCTCCACCAAAGGGCTTTGTAGACAAAATACCAGGTTTCATTTGTGAGAGATCCAGAAGGCTAATTTTTTGAATGCAGTAAAATACAAAGGCAATAGAAAAGCCAACATACAAATGTTAATAACTAAAGATTTGTGTGTAGCCCTCTCCTGCCCACTGTGTCTATGCAGGTTGACTACTGACCTCAGGAATATCCCTTAGGAGAGCAGCAAACCTTCCTCAACCCCATCAAGTCCTGGGGAAGTTTTTTCTGCCACCTCAGAGCACCCATGGCTGCTATAGACCCATCCTCATGGGCATTTGCCTCCTGCAGCACCTGCTCCTTGCTGTGGCCCCACTCCACACACCCTGCAGCTCTGCTCTGTGCATCCACATTCCCCCCATTGACACCCTTTAAAGAAACACAGACTACCCATGTGCATGCAAATCAGAACAAACCAGATCCCTCATTGCATCTCAACTAACAGGAAGATGTGAAGCTGAATTGGCATTTATACTGGTATTTTGTTAATGCCAATTTTGACCCTCACAATATGTATCTCCAGAAATAATTCTGCTCTTTTGTTAGTCAGGTTTTGATTTGTTCTCTGACAAACTGAAAGGAGAAAAAGCAAAATGCATGAAGGAAAAATATGGGGGAATGGAAGCTGACATACAGAACATTAAAAAAAATACTTTGTTTTCTTTTGTTTTAAGGAGGCAAAATGGTTCCTAAACTTAACTGGGTTTATTGCTACTTTATTTGCATTCTTTGTTAAGAACACACTTTTTTTTCACCAATTAGAGGTTCAGCTGAAGAAAATTTAATCAAATTTATTTCTAAGCATAAATCCAAGCTTAGCTCACATGCCATTTCCCATATCTGTCTTCAATTATGAGTCTCTGGGAATATCTCTAAGCCAGGCCCATATAGCAGAGACACAAAACATGAAATAATAAAAAAATAATTTGCTCTGAAAATGCAGACATTGGTGTTAGTAACAGTCTTATTGAGAAATCACCTGTATAGGAAAGTTTAGATTCAGAAATCATGCTTTTGTAACAGAAACATAGACAATATTGTACTTAATAGACTGCTACACACCTGCAACCTTTTTCCTTCTTTTCATGCATTATATCCATCATGCCATATCATGATCATGTACCACAGTCTGTGTTCCAAATGTTTACTCCCAATCTTTGCTTTTGTTTCCAGGTCTGGTACATGGATAGTTACACTAACAACAAAATTGTCCGTGAATACAAATCAATTGCAGACTTTGTCAGTGGGGCAGAATCAAGGACATACAACCTTCCATTCAAATGGGCAGGAACGAACCATGTTGTCTACAATGGCTCCCTCTATTTCAACAAGTATCAGAGCAACATCATCATCAAATACAGCTTTGACACTGGGCGGGTGCTTGCACAACGTAGCCTTGAGTATGCTGGGTTTCACAATGTCTACCCATACACCTGGGGTGGCTTTTCTGATATTGACCTGATGGCAGATGAAATTGGGCTATGGGCTGTGTATGCTACCAACCAGAATGCAGGCAACATTGTCATCAGCCAGCTAAACCAGGATACACTGGAGGTGCTGAAGAGCTGGAGCACAGGCTACCCAAAGAGAAGTGCTGGAGAATCTTTCATGATCTGTGGCACCTTGTATGTTACTAACTCTCACTTAACAGGAGCCAAGGTCTACTACTCTTATTCCACAAAAACCTCCACTTATGAGTATACAGACATTCCTTTCCATAATCAGTATTTTCATATATCCATGCTTGATTACAATGCAAGAGACAGAGCTCTCTATGCCTGGAATAATGGACATCAAGTCCTGTTTAACGTCACCCTTTTCCACGTCATTAAAACTGAAGATGACACATAATTTTCTTTCCCTTCCCTTTCCCTCACCACTCTCCCTCAAAGCAGTATCATTTGTGATAAACTCTGAAAGCATCCATCTCTCTCAGTCCTTTTTAATTTACATTTATTTCTCATTAAGGAAAAGCAACCTTTTCTACCATATAATGCATTGCAAATACAGCTGAGCCTGTCAAAAATGACCTGTTGGAAATAAAAGCATCTTAACTTATGATTCTACAAGTTCCGTCAAGACCTTGTCTTGAAAAGCACTAAAGAGGATTTCAGTGGCTAAAGACAGTTTTAAAATTATTATGATCTGCCTTATTTTAGAGTCAGAGACTAATGGTGGCTTAAATGCATGAATGTCTTTTTTTACCTCATTTTTGGTTTTAATCTATTGCTCAACTTCAGGAAATATTTTGGTAGTGTCAGACACATATTGCACATTGTATTTTTTTATTTAAAAAAAAATTAGGAATTTAATTTACTTGGATATGGAGTATGACTCATTTTGCCATCACCCAATTTCAGATGTGGTGCTGTACAGTATGTTTTTAAATCTCTTGCAAGCATTTTATCAACAGTCTGTATTTCTACCATTGTAACCACCATTGTGCAATTGTATCTCTTCACTTATGTGAAAGTAAACTAAGTACTATTTTTTATAAAATATATTGAAGCTTAATTGAAGTTCTGGTTGTGAGTCAATTGAAAATTATAAAAACCTGAGAAAAGTCTTATTTCTGAGAAAGATCAATAGTTTCTCAGGCACATGATCCCTACTCTCAGCTTTGCTTCATAGACCTCTTCTTATTCACTGTTGGTGCTTACTGGCAAATTTGAGACCTCATACCAGTCCCAGCTTTACAAATGTTGGCCAAGCCCAATTTTTTTATGTCATGCACTGCCTTCTTTCTCCCTCAGTCTCTTTTTCTCATACTCTCTTGCCTTCCACCATTTTATTTCCCTTGTTTGTGCTCACTCCCTAATCTGGGCTTTAGAAGAGACACTGAAGGCAGCCTGCTGCCTGTGCCTCCAACCCAAATGTGAGTCCATCCCATATTTGCACTGTCCTGGGACAGTGAGGAGCAACATTTAAAGTCTAGCTGCCCTCAAGATCTGCCTGTCTTTTTACTCATAACAGAAAAATGTTTAGCTGTTAACAAAGATCTCTGGAATGACAGCAATTAGGGAGAAAATAAAAAGAAAAAGGTTCAAAGCCTAAATGATCCATGTGGCACCTGGTAGCCACCATACTGCTTGCCCTTGCTTGAAAGCAGCCACAACTCTTAAGGCCATCATATTGCAGAGGTTTGGGTTTTGCTAGCAGTAGTATTGTTATTTATGGTCAAAACTGCTGCCTTTAGGAAAAAATATTTCTGAAAGCTATGTGGCTTGCTACACTATCTCATTAGAAATGGGGAGGCATATTTTATTGAGAAAAATTAATTATGTGCTATTTATCTATTTTGGTATAAATGTAAAGAAACTAACTTTAAGAACTAGTATAAGAATTTTTATTAAGTTAAGCTATCACAATAATACAAAATAATAGATATCTGAAAAATTGTGTGAAAGCTGCATTCCTCACAGATGTTGAGTCTCCTCTTTATACCCTTTGAAATTGGGCTCACAGAAGAGCAAGAACACTTATGAAAATGTTCCTATTCAAGAACAAGAAAAAAAAAGTAAATCCACTAACATTTTGCCAGATCTCTTTTGAAGACATTTGATTTGCTGTTTCTTCCAACTCACCAGCTGAGACCAGCTTAAGACTCACAAACATTTTCATTATTTTATATGTATGTGTCTAAGCACATTTACAAGTCTGTTTTACAATATAAGTCTACATGGACATGAACAAGAAATTGCCCATTCATACTGGTTGCAAACTGGAAAACTACTAATTATGTTTTTAATAAAGGAGAAAAACAAACAAACAAAACAAACAAAAAAAAACACAAACCAAATTGCATTACAACATGACTAGAGAAAAGTTACTCTCCCGCTTCCATTTCCCCCCTTCTGCCTAGCTGAAAAGATAACTGTAATCATTTATAATCACTTACACAGGATTTAGAGGCACCAAGTTCTGCTAAACAGACAACTTAAACCACTTTACTCCTATAGCCACCTTTCCTGTATTGATAACCAAGCCTCCTCTGTGACACATGAAAGTGTATACAACTACTGATTTTAAAAGGTATTTTCTGTCTTATAGGAATGTTTTATAAAAATTAAGTATGTTCAGATTTTCATCAAAAGCCTTAAAACAAACCCTCACCTTTCTCCCACACAGAGTAACTTCAACAAAATAGAACTTTTTTGCAAATATAGCATTCTTAAAAACATCAGTCATTAAACTGATAAAGTAAACTTCTTTCTACTTTATCATCATAAAATAGACTAATAGTCATGACATGAGGATCACTTCATCTGAAAAAAATTTCTGCTTCCATGTTTCTTTATAAGAATTTCATGTTGTGTAATTAGCATGCATACATTAGTACAAACTGATAAAATTCTTGCAGTAAGATTAATCTCATCTAATTTCAATGCCATTTAGTTAGCCATTTAAAGGATAAAGAACTCCTATCAGTCAAAGGAAAGAAACAAAGAGACACTACTACAGGGTTCTAGATGTAGGTGGATAAAAGGAGTAGAAAAGGCAACTTTGAAGGGTGATTTGTCTTAATGATTAAGCTATTGTGCCAAAGCATAAAAGTCATACCTAGATAAATCTTGCCCCTCTAAATTAGTAGCAACCAGTTGGATTCCAATACCTTTATACATGAAATAACAGCTTGCACAGCATCGATACAACAAAACTTGGTGAGACACCATCAAGTAAGTAGGCACTGCTTCCCACAAAGGAGCATTCGTTTTTCTGTGAATCAGTGTTGAACACTTGTCTTTCCCAAATTGGAAATTCCAAAGTCATATTGCCAAAAGGCTGAAAATACCATGACTCAATCAATATAGGCAGATTTGTATTACAAGTTTTTGCCCTCATAATTGAACACCACAAGCAGCAAATCTTCCTGACCTATCAGCAACCTACCTATTAGCAAGAAAAGTGTAGGGGTTTTTTCATACTTCAGCATGAGGCTGTTTGTTATGAGGAGGTACTGATACTATTGGGAAAAAGAAAACATCTCTCCTTAAACATAATTCATTATAGAGCATATTTTAATATCTGAGTGACCTCTTGCTTCATGGGTTAAACATGTAAAAGGACCACGTCATTGTGGCACTCAAAACAGAATTTTTAAATTTAACAAAGCTGTGCTACTGGCAAAAAAGGATGCACATAACCTCAAATCTAACACAGGAGCACTAGATTGCCAAACCCACCAGGAATGTGTCTCCTGAGGGAGACACTAAGGAACATGAAACAGTGCTCACCACAAAGCCCACAGCTTTCTCCCTGGAACAGGCTATCCATTCCCCACAACAAAACAGGTAGAACAATCCTCCCTAGAGAAAGCTTCCTGAACAATAATAATCTTCTATACTCCCTTCTGGCAATTTTTCTTCAGTGAGTAACTAGCAAGTCTATTGCAATGCATGTGGGCTGTTCAGCTTGCCCTGTCCGTTGCAGTGTGCTAAGCAAACCACTAGCAGAGTGACTCTAAAGCCTACTCTGCACAGTAGTTGCTGCTAGCAAAAGCTTGTCTTCTATTTGAAAAATTAAAAGGGAATAGTTGAACAAAACTGAGTGATACAGTGTTTTAAACACAGCTTGCTTAGATCTAAGAATTATTAATTTCCAGACAAGCTCAGGGGCACTAGCTGTCACTCAGCTCAGCAGGCTGGATCCACAGCAAAGGAAGACAGGTCTTTTGCTTCAAAGTACAGCCTGAATAAAACTGTCACCTGGTAATTTGTTGTACTAAACAATGGCTTAGAAGACACTAGGGATCAACAAACCATTCACAGCTAATAATTAATCCAGTAAATTTCATCCCTTTCCAGTTTGAACATTGACAGGGTACAGCCTTGATTCATTCTGATTTTTATTCTAGCAAAATATTTTTTAAACCATTTGTTTAGGCATGCATCTTCCAATAAAGTATCCAACCGTTCCCTGCTGCGAATCTTACTCTATATCCTTGGCATTCAGGAAGCAATACTGAGCAGTTGGGCACCTTTTTCAGAAGATGAAGAGGGTTGCAGCTTTAAGACAGAGCTGCAGCTCAGTCCATTATGCTGACAAGCTGCCCACTGTACTAATTCTGAGGAGACTGACTCCTCCTCCATGACATCCTGTAACAACTGCATCCCATCAGAAGCTCACACTCAAAAGCAGTCCAGCATGCAATGAGTAACCCACACCAAAAGCAGAGATCACTTTATTGTGGAGGGGGAGTGAAACACACACCTATAAACAAGTCCTACAGTTGCAGAATAGTAAGGTTACTTCTTCCACAGAAAACAGACTAGTTAGGTTATGCAAAGTTCAGTTTACTGGGGTTGCTACATTCAGTTATTGGGAAACTGAGGAGACACAGTTAACCAGCACCAAGTTATGGAGACTATACAAAAAGGCATTGTTGTGCAGTATGACTTTTGTTCGGCTCTAGAAAACAGACACATGACATCGATGCAATAGGCATGACCACAGAGTCACAAAACTGAGATGTGCAGGGGTTTTCTCCAAACAATCCACCTGCTTACTCTAGTATTATGATTAATTACCGCTCATACAATCTGCGAACTGCTGCAGACTTTCAGTTGCTGTCAGTCAGTGCATTCAGTAAGCATTTTGAGACCACTTCCAGCCTTCTGTAATCCTCTCTTGTCCTCAAAGGCCACTGGCATAACTAGCACCCAGTGTCAGACAAGCTGCAAAGTTAAAGAACACAACGGACACCACCTTTCTGCAGCTCTCATTTAAGACAGAAGGGATTATTCAGAAATGTAGAGATTGGCCCCAGATATGAAAACTTATTTCCTCTGAAACCAACACATGGAGGAAATCCTCATTCTTAAAATATAAATCAGTTTTATTGATTTTCATACCATCAGGAGTTGCATAAACTTCTCATTAAAGTGTTCAGCCTCTTAAAACTGATATTTGTCTCTATATCTGATATGGAGGGAGGGGAGAAAACTCACATTTTCTTTAGAACCAGAAATCTTTGGTAGACTCCTACACACTTGCCAGCTGATTTTCAGGAGCAACCTGAGGAGTTCACCTATATCTTCTACTGCAGAACACTCAAAAGCAGAAGCAGAAGCATCAAAGAAGCCACTGATTTCAGAGCGATGCAAAGAGCACTTGCCCAATATTTTCTATTCCTGTCTGCTCTCTGTAGAGACAATTGCTTATTTTTTGTTTCTAGTGAGTGTTACTATCCCAGCCAGCACATCAGGAGATGGAGAAGAGAGATACAAGGATCTAGGGTACTTGGTAACTATCTGCAGCCAGAAGGAATCAAGTACTTGCATGTTGGCAACCAATAGATGCTGCTTCCTTCTACAGATACGTAGACCCGAGTCCACATGGGCCTGCCTAATCAAGCACAGTCAATCTGCAGCCATTCATTCCCAATCTAAGGCAATGTTATGTGATAGACATAGACAAGAATCCTTCTACTGCAAAGACCTGTTGGCTTTGAGTGTCACTGCTTTGACCTTCTGTGAGAATAAGGAAAATATATTTTTGTATAAATAGGTGTCAACTGCTA